AAGCGTTTTGGCAGGACAATTTAAAAAGAATAAGAGCACTCTAGAAACCAAAGTGGATAGACGAAATATGAGTGTTTATTATGAATGATACATAGTATCACGCAACTACCTTTACCGGTTCTAGGACAATAGAGTATCCACACTTGAAAATTAGAAGGAAATGTATGAGAGATGTAGGAGGGAAACACAAATTAAAAGCGGTCAATAAATCCTGGTTTAGGGTTAAATTGCGTAGGTTATAGGAGCGTGTTTCTTTTTTTATAATTTGAAAAAATAAAGGTCATCTAAGATGGTGTAAAACAATAAAAATAATGAAACCTAAGATGGTGTTTAATCCTCCCTTAGGGAAAATGATTTCAAGTTACTATGAATATTGAAAAAACGTTCATTTTAGAATAAAAGGAAAAACTGTCGTGACCAGGATTAGAACCTGGGTTATTGCGGTCACTCACACAACTACACCCCTAACTCTCACCCTAAGCCCAATTCCCTAACCGACTTATTCCCATATCAAAATCAAAATAAAAACCCTAACAGTCAAACATCGAGTGAGACAAACAATGGAAACAATAAAACGCAAGATGGTGACTCATACTTCCAATGGTAAAAGTGATTAGCATTCGTATCGTGTAAAAAAATCGAGAATAAAAGAGGTTTGTTTCCGCCTAAACCCTACGATGGAATGTGAATAATTCATCCCACTCCAATAAAATAAAAAAATAGTTCGGATGGTGATCACTCAGTTCATGAGTATTCAAAATTCTCTGGAAATGAACAGTGGGTCGTTCGAGGTATAAACATGTGATAGCTTTTTTCTCAATAAAAATGTTTACTTTAGTTCAAATCTTAATTAAAAATAAACTGGAACGCGTGAGTGTGATCACTAGCAGTGACGAAAGTGTTTTAAACTCTATACAAAGTTCCGCAAGTGAGGAAAATAACAACGATACGTCGACGCAATTCAATGAGAATGATTCGAAGAGAAATAATTAAATCTCCTGTTTAAAAACATTATCAGAAAAAAATCGAACGAAAAGGGTATTCCAAAACGCAGCACCATGCTCATGAACATTCCCATTTCTCGGGAAAAATGAACCACAGAGCATACAAACCGGGGAAAAATACGAAATGCCAGCAGGCGTTGTAACTGTCCCATTATTATCTGTCCATCAAATTTTAATCAAGTCATAGCGTCCTTACATGTTTTTTGGATCAAAGTCAATGACCTGTCTGTCCAAACTGTTTCCGAGTTATGACGTGTGTCAATCAATGATATACCAATGGAAATCTAGCAATGGGTGTATAAGAGTGGCTATGAGTCGGAATGGTATGACCATACGTGGGACCAAAGTGATGATGAAGAAAGTTCGATTTCATCCAATCAGACAACTGGTGTATCTCAATGAAATTCATCCCTACATAGAAGTCGAAGAGAAGATATATACAATCAAACCGTTCCTGGATACCCCGTTTAAACACAAAATAAAAGGGATAAAAGAGAGGCAACATAGCAAGTACCTATATACAAGCACGTTTTACACAAAACCTGGACATCAATATGTGATAAAGCGATTGGAAGAATTACAAGGAGCATAATCCAAAGACTTACTTAGCTCATATGATATGGACTTACATGTGACGAAACATGACTAAAACGTGGAAACATTGCCACGGTCGCTACGCGACCGCATTCC